TATTATTTTAGAAATACTATAATTAGAATAGTATAATTCTTATATATTTTTTAGATTTAGAATTATTATACTTAATTTAGATTATTATATATCTAATTATTTATTATATAATAAACTCGTTACTATTTAGAGTAATAATAAATTTTTTAAAAAGAATTTAAATTATATAGTAAAGATTATATTTAAAAAAAAATATAATAAAGATCTTTATCTATATCTTTATTAAGATAATTAAAAAATTAGAAAATTAAATTATTATTATATAATCTTAAAATTTTAAATAGTTTTTTAACTTTATTAATAAGAAAGCGAAGTTTATTATTAATATCGTCGCTATTATAATAGAAAATTATAAAAAATTCTATTATAAGCTAAGAAAGAAACCTTTAATTATAAAATAGTTATAGAAATAAGTTCTTATAATATATTATAAATAATTAGATATTTAAAATTTCATTAAAACTAATAAACTTTTTACTTATCGCTCTATTAATTATAAAATATATCTTAAAAAAGAAGCTATTTTATTATCGAAGAGAGCTTATAAACTCTCTAAAGATTAAATATTAATTATAAAAAAATATATTAATAAGATATTAGGGAAAGATTATATTAGATTAAGTACTTCTCTCTATATAGCATTTATTCTAATTATAAAAAAACTCGATAAAGGATTTAAACTATACGTGAACTATAGAGTTTTAAATATATTTATTATTTCTAATTAAAATACTCTTCTATTAATTAAAAAGACTCTCGCTAAATTATACGCGGTGAAGATATATAGTAAATTCGATATTATAGCTACTTTTAACGAGATTAGAGTAAAAAAGAGTTATAAAAAAAAATCGCATTTCTTACTTAATATAGTCTATTCGAATATATAATAATATCTTTTAAATTATATAATATCTCTATTACTTTTTAAATATTTATTAATAACACCTTACGCGAATATTTAAATATATTTTATATTATTTATTTAGATAATATTCTTATTTATAGTAATATTAAAGATAAATATATTTAGTATATAAAAAAGATATTAAAAAAACTTTAATAAGCTAATCTCTATCTTAATATTAATAAATATAATTTCTATATTATTAGAGTTAAATATCTAAAATTAATTATTATTATAAAAGAAGTAGAAATAGATATAAAGAAAATTAAGGCTATTACTTAATAAAAGAAACTTAGATATATTAAAGATATATAAATATTTCTAAAATTCGCTAATTTCTATCGAAAGTTTATTATAAAGTATTCTAAAATCGTCGTATTTTTAACAAATTTTACTTATACTTAATAGAAGAAAGACTTTATCTATTTATAAGCTTAAGAATATTCTAAATAACTCGCTTTCAAAATACTTAAGAAAGCTTTTACTACTATCTCTATATTTACTTACTTTAACTTAAATAAAAAGATTTAATTAGAAACGAATATATCTAATTTTATAGTTATTATTATTTTATTATAAGAAGATAAAGACGAAGTACTTAGATTTATAATATTTTTTTTTAAAAAGATATCTTCTATAGAGTATAACTATAATATCTATAATAAGAAACTTATAACTATAATATAAGTTTTCGAGAAATAATATTTTAAGCTAGCTAGTACTTTTATCGAGGATTTTATTAAAGTTATTTTAGACTATAAAAATTTATAGTATTTTATATTTTTTAAATAACTTAACTTTTACTAAGTAAGATAAATAAAGTTTCTCTTCGAATTTAACTTTTATATTATCTATCGCTCGAGAAAATAAAGTATTAAATCTAATAGTTTTATTCGATAAGTAAAAAATTTATCTAAAAATGAGAATAATAATTATACTCGTTATCGATATCGTATAATTTTTAAAAATAATAATCTTAATAAAGATATTAAGAATATTATATATCTTACTATTATACTACTAGACGATATAAGAGAAAATATTATTTTTCTAATTATAATATTATATAAACTTAGTAAATAAAATAATATTAATAATAAGAAGTCTAATAAAGAATTATTATTAAGGGTCTTAATAAAGACTTCTTAAAAGAAGTTCTTAGAAGAATTTAGAGAAATCTCTACTACTAATACTTTTAAGTTATTATATTAAATAAAAAATATTTATAATTATAATAATATCGCTTAGAGAATTATTTAATTAAAGGTATCTAAATAGAAAAAGCTATTACTTAAAATAATTAAGAATAATCTTAAGCTAAAACTAAGTAATTATTATCTTTATAATAAATTATTATACGTTAATAATAGACTATATATATCGAATATTCTCGAATTACGAATTAAAATTATTAGAGATATTTATAACTCTCTATTCGAAGGCTATATTAATAGATTATTAATCTATAATAAAGTAAATAGACTTTACTATTAACTAAGAATAATAGATTTTATTACTCGCTATATTAAGAGCTATTATATTTATAAAAGATCTAAGACTTATAGAAAGAGTAAATAAGATCTATTTAAATCTCTTCTTATTTTCGAATAGTATTAATAAGATATTTTTATTAACTTTATTATATTACTATCTATTTATCTTAAATATAAATATCTTTATTAATATATTATAGTGATTATAAATAAACTTAATAAAAAGAAGAAATTCGTTTCTTTAGACTCTCTGGAAGTGAAGGTAGTAGTTTAGACCTTTATCGAATTCATATAGCGAGAGAAAGAATACTTATTTATTATTATCTTCGATTGAGATACTTAGTTTATAATATATTTCTAGAGAAAACTATATAAAAGAATTAAGATTAAATCTAAACTCTTTATTATATTTTACTCGAAAATTAATAAATAGATAAAGAATATTAACGCTACTTTAAAATAATATTTTAAAATTTATATTAATTATAATTAAGATAATTAGATAAATCTATTATTAATTATAAAGTTCGAAACTAACTTCGATAAGAACGCCTTATCGAGAATATTATTATTTCTTTTTATTAAAGAATATATTTCTCGCTCGAGGATAGAACTCTTGATTTTTTAAGATTAATCTATTAATTAAAGAGCGAAGAGAGATATTAAATTAGCTAATAAATTTATTAAAAAAATAGATATTATAAGAAATTATCTAAGAAGTTAGCTTAAATAGTTATAAGCTTTATAAAAGAAGTAAGTTAATCGTTATCGACTCTTAATATTAGAATTTAAAATTAAAGATATAATTATATTTAATAGAAGAAATATTAAAATTATACGCCCTAGTAAATTACTAGATTATAAAAATTTTAAATTATTTAAAATTACTAAAGCTTTAAATAATTTCGCTTATAGATTAAAACTTTTAATTTCTATAAATAATATTTATTTTATCTTTTATCTATAACTATTATATCTTAATAATAATAATCTACTATTAGAATAGATTAAGCTTTCGTTATCGTTTATCGATATTAATAAAGAAGAAGAAATCTACGATATTAAAGAAATAGTTTAATTTAAGCTAGATAAATAAAAGAATAATTCCTTAACTAGTAAGAGAGGATATCTTATATATAAAATTAAGTATAAAGACTTCGAGATCGAGAAAAACTTATTCTAATAACTATTTATAAATATAGTAGAATATTCGAATCTAATAGTAGACTTTTATTATTATTACCTCGAGGTCGTTAACTCTTATTTATTATTTAAAAGATCTTTAAAATAGTTTTCTTTATTAGCGCTATTAATTTATAATAACTATATTAATTTATAAAAAGATCTCGATATTATAATAGAATACTAAGTTAATATATCTAAGAATATTACTTTATATACGTCTAGATATACTTTTTATAAGATCGATATCTACTATATAGTAATCGTCGTCGAAGCTTTAAATTAAAGAGGAAGATAATATTACGATTTTAATAATCTTACGATTTTACTTATTTATATTATAATTTAATTAGACTTAAAGGCGGTAAATCTTACTAATTTGGTTAAGGTACGGTTAGCGTAACTCATAGCCCTCCGCTAAGGTATACACATCTTAAAAACTCCTAGTCTGAAACCCCCTATTATCTGTGGGAAAACCAATTTATGCACGTTAGGCAGCAGGATCGCTGGCCTTGCTTAGGAAGAACTGGCTTTGGAAGTCCCTTGCATCAGATTCGTGACACGGGGCCTCAACTCAGGGCACATTCCAATCGTGGGCCTCGCAGCGTGATTGAAACCAGAAGTGGCAATTATTTGACGTATTCTCGCCTCTCAAGCTTGAATATGAGCCATGTTCTGAGCGTCAAGTTGAGCCAAAAAGTCCGCAAGCTCTGGCGGCAACTCTAGCGAACCGTCTGAAGCTGTCCGATCAGCGAGCCTAGATTGGCTTTCAAAGCACTTGGCCAGGCTCGATGCAGGATCATTAGAGTGTCTCTGTAAAATCTACTTCTCATCGCCACAGTCATTCTTCTGATTGCTGACAGATATCACTCAAATTTGCTACCGAGCTCGATTGCTTCCCCTGAGCTCGTATATGGTGTATGGTAGTGACTCGCTGCGAAATGGGGAGCCTCCCTTCGATTTGCAGTAGGGCCCCATTCCATCCCAATGCTGTTAGGTGTTCTTCTATTACCTTGAATTTGTAGATACATAGACTAGATTGAAGAGGGTTTCGATGCCATCTGGCCATTTGAGCTCTTCCGGGGCGTTTCTGTTTCAGCAACGACGACAGTAAGCAAGATATTCCTCGATTCGGCAAAGACGGGGCAATGAAGGCACGCGAGAGTCGTCGTTCGATTCACATTGCCGTACACGGTGCAGGACACCCTAAGATCCATCGCCATTGACGAGTATACATGAGAAGATCTCGTCAAAAATATCGGAGGCAATGGATCGAGGAAGGCCATTATCGTACTATGCTCCAATTTCTAGAACGCTAGCTTTGTACACACAAGGACCACCCTCGGTTTCTTACAGATACACTGGAAGGCAATATTGTTTCAACAGGTGACTATATTTCCTGCTGCTCCAATGAGAAGCTACTATAGTGATTTGCCCATGAATTTGCGCTTCGTGAAACTCAGCCACCACTATTGTATCATCAATGCCTATCCAAGTCCGCAGTAAAAGGGTGGAAACACTCACTTTCGACGGTGTGTTGCCATCTGCATACACACGCGCAAGTAATCTCATTGCCAATTCCTGTCTCACCTGAGACAGATACCTTGATTTCGTGAGAAGGGTCTGGGGTGCTAGTAATTTTGAGCAAGACTCACTGTCTCAAGGTCTCCGCATCTTGTCGATCTCTCGGCGCCTCGAATGCCTGATTTAATGGGAAGCTAGCATCCCCCGGAATTGCAAATTGGTCCAATGCTGCGTTCAGCAGTGCCTAGATCACCGGTCTTCATCAGCACCGCTCTCTGTGCGAAGCTGTGACCTGAAAGGCGCTGCATTTGCGTTTGCTCTGTATAAGCAAACGTACCTTCTCTGCCTCCTTCTTACCCAATGTCGGCTTTATCTTCCCCAATGCCTCGCTCAAGAACAGTATGCCATAAATGAGTAATCGGTCTGCCGGCCCTTTGATTTCAAAATTTCGGAAGAACGTGTTTGCTCGGAAAAGGGAAAGGACTTCATCTAGGGAGTCGTATGACTCGCTGTCTGGGTCGATTTCAAGCTCGGAGGTACCTGGGGCCAAGGCAGGAAGAGAGTAGGCTGGACCACGGGTGCGAGTTCGGAGAGGAAGGAGAGCAAAGTTGCCTGTATCGGGTCAGAGCGAGCTGAGCAAGCAGTTGGGTAGGGCAAGCATTGAGGTAGAGGGACAGCTCTTGGCAGTGACGGTTGACTGACCTATTAACCGGACATTTTGATCCTGGAGGAAGATGGAGTGATACGCCTGATGCCATGTCAGTAGCTAACAGCTCAAGGTGGGAGAAGGATTAGACTTACAGGCATATTGGCTACGGTGTTGCCATCGTCAAGGAACTTTGAGGCTCATAGGCCAAGGCAGTCGCAATCAACAAATGCCAAGCCTCGTAGGGCTGAGCACACTGCAGGCCCACTTTACGCGCCTCGCGTCTCAATATCATGTCTTTACAAACAGAGCTACACTTCGATTGACAATACGACTCTTCTTTCATCTTGCCAACATGTCAGATTACGAAGATGAGATGGACGTGGATGACGCCCCGGTCAAGGAGTCGGTCATGTTCAGCTCTGACAACACCAACGCAAAGGGCAAAAGAAGCGCGGCAAACCTGCCCGTAGAGGCAGAGGACAGCCTACCTTGGTGATTGTAGAGTCTCCTACCTTAAGATGCCATGCTTATCATTACAGGGTAGAGAAGTACAGACCAAACACATTGGACGATGTCTCGGGTCATCAAGATATTTTAGCCACAATCAACAAATTTGTCGACACCAATGTTTATATCCTCGGCTTCTATGCAATCTGCCACACGCTGATGATAGTATAGCGATTGCCCCATCTCCTACTCTACGGCCCACCAGGTACAGGCAAAACATCAACGATACTCGCGTTAGCACGGCGAATTTATGGCAACAGAAACATGAGGCAGATGGTGCTCGAGCTCAATGCTAGTGATGATAGAGGCATAGACGTCGTGCGGGAACAAATCAAGACTTTTGCAAGTTTGTACCAAGCGTTGGGGAGGAGTCTACCTGATGCTGATTGAAAGTTCAGGCACCAAGCAGATCTTCTCAGCAGCGCCCAAGGCCGGTGACACGCCCTCATCAGGAGCTTACAAGCTCATTGTTTTGGACGAGGCCGATGCTATGACTTCAGTGGCTCAAATGGCCTTGCGGAGGATCATGGAAAAATACACGGCCAATACGCGATTTTGCGTAATCGCCAACTATACCCACAAGCTGTCGCCAGCATTACTATCAAGATGCACGAGGTTCAGGTTCAGTCCTCTGAAAGAACCAGATATTAGGCAGCTCGTCGATATCGTGATCGAAAAAGAAGATGTCAAAATTCAGCCTGAGGCAGTTGACAGTCTTGTACGGCTGAGCAAAGGTGACATGAGGAGAGCTTTGAACGTTCTTCAAGCATGTCATGCAAGCAGTATGTTCCTTTTTCAACTCTCCGACGAGCTTCTCATGCAAGCATACCATAGATGCACGACAGTCACTGACACTATACTCAGGCACTCCATTATACATCAAAGGCCAACCACCACCCAAAAATCCCAAACGTGAAATGATAACCAACGCCACCATTTACGACTGCATCGCCGCCCCTCACCCTTCTGACATCGAACTCATCCGCGACACCCTCATGGAAAGTTCCGACGTCACCTCCTGCCTCAACACTGTCAACATGCTCAAAGCGAACAAAGGCCTAGCATTAGCAGATATACTAACGGCCCTAGGAGAGGAGCTGGCGAAACTAGAAGTACCACCACAGACGAGAGTAGCATGGCTTTCAGGACTTGCCGAAGTGGAGTACAGGTTAAGTGGTGGAGGCAGTGAAGTGGTGCAGACTGGAGGGTTGGTGGGTGTGGTCAGAGGAGGGGTCGATTTGATGGAGCATGGAGGGACGAGGTAGTAGATAAACAATGCCCAGTCTTGAGATTTACAACTCCCGCTGTTATCAATTTTGCATGCTCCTCGCCTATCTTGCAAAGCCACCGCTCTTCTGACACCGATCTTGACATATAGCAGATTGGCCAACTGTATAGCGTCACATTCTGCTGGCTCGACATCCATCTTGCAGAACTCTTGGCACTCTTCTAACACCAAGCCTTTGACACCTAACGATATCGCCAGCTACCTAACAACACAGTGATCGCATGCCCAGTCGCACCTTCAACACCAAAACCTCCTTGCCAGCTCAACACTGCCCTATCGATAACACCTCCGGAAAATCCATACATAATCTCCATTCCTCCCTTGCTTTGCTCCTCATCCTGGCCTTGACCGATACCCGAAATGGAGCAGCACCCCAAGGCTTCAATTCCACAGCAAAATCTGGAAATGAAACCTACCGCCAAATCGACAATCAAGCCGAAGGCTCTCGCGACTCGTGCAGACTGGGTCAACATCCTTTGGGCAGACATATCTGGCCAACTTCGGCGCTCCTCTGTCATTTCTGCCGATTTGTTTGACGGGCTTGTACTCAAGAAAGACACCGCTACTGGCTCGTTGATCCTCAGAGAATTGGTAAGTATGCCGTGCTTTACCCTTTCTTTCGGTCAAACCCATTGAACATGCTGATGCTGTGTGTGCAGCGCCTACAATACGAAGAGCTTGGCCATGATAGGAACCTGGCCACCGTCAGGGTGTTGGTGCCGCAGAAATCGACATATGAGCTCTGGCAGCTGCTGTGGACTATCAAGCGCCTTAGGGATCCTAACGGCCGTAGGTCTTCCACTTACCTTCCTAGCGATCTCGTCCCTTTCGAACGGACATTTTGTTGACAAGATTTTAGGTCAGTTCCACTCTGAGATGGCAATAGACCCCATCGACCGTCGAACGCACCTAGAACTCGACACCTACCGTAAGCCAATTCCCATAGCTGCTTTACCTCGCTGTTAACGCTGACGAAGACACCTAGCCGGCCAAATACACTCAGTGACCGACTTCTCGCTTCCATCCTTCATACAAGATTACGGACCTGGACCCTCAGAATTTGATCCTGATCCGGAGCTCGATTTCGATGCAACGATAGGGGGTATAGTGACAGATGCGGGCGCGGGAACATGGGTGAAGGAAGTGCCAGAAGCAGATGAGACAGATGGAGGAGAATTGGATGCAAAGATCGATGAGAGCAAGGAGTGATTTTGGGGCGGGTGATATTTAATGTATGCGATTGCTGTGTGTCTGGGTAAAAATTTTGGGAAATCTGTCACTTTCCGCAGCTCCGTTCAGACTGTCGCTTTGATGCTATGCAAACATTTCATCTGTCAACACATTATTGTTCGCGCTTCACAAATCAGAACTTTTCTTTCATCTTCCATACCTTCAACACCACACATCCATCAACACTTCCTACCAACACCTCTCACCAATTATGACCAACCTCGCTACCTGGCGCGACCGCCACTGGTCCGACATCAGCGACCGACTCCTCCGTCTAAACACCATTGACAAAACTAACCTCGACGGCTCACTCCTTGAGAAGGATACCGTAACCGGCACATGGGTTTGCAGCTGGCCGGTACTGCATACGTCCCGTCTCGCAATTCCCCACCTCTGAACAACCCTAACCGCTATCCCAGGGGCGCGTATGCAACCAGCATAGCGCCACAGCGAGGCCGACTGCCACGGTCGAAATCATCGCGCCAGAATATGGCTCTGGAGAGTGCGTGAGGCTCAGACTGGAGGTCAAGGTGCGGAAACGTAAGTGCTGTTGAGCTCGGCGGAGATGGATTGATCTGATGGAGGTGTAGATCAGACGAGGTCATTCGCTACGTTTCCGGCCGCGTTCGATAGTGTGGCTCCGGCGCCGACGTCTGAGAGTCCACGCTCTTCTGCGTCCAATGTCGACAACGGGTTGTGAAGGGGTGAGAAGCGGAGGTTGAGATGGTTGTGAGGGGATGAGGTGGATAGATAGAGCGTCGCAGAAAAGGGAAGCACTTCGCCACCAAGAATGGAAACGGTCTGAAAGGTAGACATGTTTTTTAATTAAGATAGAGGGCAGATGCACCAGACGCAGAGTGTGATTTCTCTCTTTCCTTTTTTCGTTGGCCTTGAGACTTCCTCGTTACCCTGACTCAAAGAAAAGGAGGCACAATCAACGGGATTTGGCCGATTAAACTGACCTTGCAGTCCATGAAATGACACGACATGGATTAATCTTCTTGCTTAGGAGCGCCAGAAAAGGTACGATGGTATGGGTCTCTCAAGAGAAGAGGCCGTTGCCACGAAGCTACCGTAAGTAGCGGCTGCCTCCACTCACCGAAAGAAGACAATGAGTTGGTTTAATTTTTCGCCACTGGCACCTAAAACAAACCTCGAATACTGTCTATCATCCTGATCTCCAGGTTCTCCTCTCAACCTTGGTCCAAAGCAGCCACACTCCGCATCAAACGACGCATCAAACTCCTTGTAAAATAACCTGCCAGTATTCAAAAACGCAGGTAATCTCGCCGCCTCGGTCCGCAATTCTCCGCGATATGGTGCCAATAGACACTGAGATAGGCACCCAGGGGGTGTTGTTGCAAGCAGTCGTGTTGTAGCGGTCACAGATGAGGTAGGATCTAGGGAATCCGAAAATAGTGGCAATTCTCTCAGAGCGTCTCTCACTTCGTGATTTTCGACTTTCACATCACCTCTTGAACTCACGCTCTCTTCAACTTCCCAACTTGCCGCAGCCAAGACCTTCGATCTGGATGCCAGTATTGAAACACCATGGCAACCCTCGAAGAGTGGACGGAGTATTTCTACGCAGACATCAGCGCTCAGCTACGCCTCACGGCGTCAACCAAAGAATGTTCGATGGATTGTATCTTAGTAAAAGCTCGATTACTGGATCCTGGCTGCTCACAGAACTGGTGACAACCCCTCCCCCCTCCCCAACCCATTTTCACTTGCCATTACCTGTACTGAACTCCCATGCAGGCTTCCAAATACTCGATTCTTGCCAATGAGAGGGATGCAATGTTCGTGACGGTTATACGAGGTGATTTCGAGGCTGAGACGTGGAGATTGGTGTGGCATTACAAACACGGTCAGGCAGGTGGGTGATGATGGTATTTGGGCCACCATACAGACCTCTGCTAACAAGCTGGACCCGCAGATGTTTATCACTCAACATCGAACTTCCCTGGACCCCGCGTGGATCAAGATGGTCGGGTGTTGATCAGGGATTGCATTCTGCCTCCTGTCAATGGTGGCGAGGGATAGGGTGTGCAATCTGATCTGAAGGGGCTGATGAAGATTGGGCATAAGACGATTTGTGCCAAAGCATGGAAATCAGGCCGATAGGTAGATGTTGCAAGCAATGATCGACTACCTCCCCCCCCAAACATGCATAGTTGCAATAGAGTTGTTAAGTTGAAAGCCGACTAAGACAGGCGAATCGAAGGAGCGCAAAATTCAAAACTCAACACATCTTCCGCACATTTTCCCCTCATTTCCAACAACACTATCCCTCTTCCTCGCACCCACCCAGAATACCCGCCATATCATCGCGAAGCGTCCACTTGGTCTTGGGGATAATTGGAGATTGGAGTGGCACACTAAAGATGAAGGACAGCAATGTGAGTAGAGGAGAGAACCGTGCCCCTGCTGGGTTCGTTGTCTTGACCTAAAGAAAGGACAGCAATGTGAGTAGATGTAGAACCGTGCCCCTGCTCGGGTGCGTTGTCTTGAGCCGATTCTGCTGCAGATCAGTTCCACTCGGTCTCCGGCATCCCGCCTTTCTTCCTGCACAAAAGAAGGCGGAAATAGCTATTGTGTTCCTGATATCTAGATTGACCGATCTGAATCTGACGCCGGGGGTGGGAGATTGGGTTTCATGGGCCCAGGAAAAAATTGAATAAGCTGAAACTGTTGCTGGAGCAGGGGGCGAAGAATCAGCTCGACCCTCGTGTCCACGGACTGGGCTTTCGTCGAGTAAGTCACGACCATGGGTCCATGATAAGCGCACTTTGAGGCAATCAAGGCAAGACTCAAACATGACCGTTGCCTCTTGAGGGCTGATACTTCCTTTGCAGAATCAATGAGCCCTAATATGACTTTCGTTATTATTTCTCCTTTCGTCATTCTGTATCGGTCTCGTTGGAGTCGGACAAGTTTAAGGGGTTTGATGACTGGGATTTTGTTTTGTGACCACCCCTTGTCTGGAACACCTTGTACTAGTACCTGACCTACAACATATCCACCACCTTCCCATAGCATGTACCCCAGTGTTCGGCAACTTTTCAACGCACTTTATTAAACAAACAAAACATCAGATACATAGCTCGAAGAGCAAGAGAAGTTCTGCAACATTATAGGCGGCCGTTCCTCTGTAAATCTTGTCGTTGTGGAGTTCTAGTGGAGCTGTACTGTGTTTGAACAAAAAAAACCAAACTCGAGGTGGTCGGTTGGGCACCGGCTGCGATACGTCGCGAAATTGCCACTCAACAGCCCTCGTCGAAAAATGCAAATTTTGAATAATCACTAGTAGTGAGTTATCTATCGGAATCTCGAACATTAGCTATGGCGACCGCTCACAGGTACTTTTACCGCCATTCTGTACAGCTTCTTGATGGGCAGAGCACACATTTGAGCTGTGGTGCTCCGCCAAGTTCGATATACCTAAAGCTCATAGTCTTGCCTTTGCGAGCGCCTCCGAAACCAGTCGGACCCTAATCGTTTTGATGGCATCAAGGCCTGCTTCAGCTTGCATTTGCAGACAACGATTATTAGGATGTTCCCATCGTCTTTCTGATACTGTTTAAACAAGAAAAGCTTACCAGGGCACAATCGGGCTCGTCGTTCAGATTCCGTACGCCCCTTCCACCAATCGCGAATCCTTCGCGTACGTCAGAAGCCTCGGGCACACCACAGACGGGTCCGAGAGCATGACTATCCTAGCTCAAGTCTACGCTTTCGCAGATTCAATGGCACCCTGCAGGCTGCCGGCTCTGACATCGCTGGTGGAGACAGAGCCGGCTCTGTTGACAAAGAGGATGGAAAAGGCATCTTGTTTATCTTCATCGTTTCTTCGGGGCGTATAGCCCCCTTCTGCAGAATTGCACTGCTCGCAGGGGCCCCGCCGTTTCCAGCTCCATGTGCAGTAAGCAATTCTGCCACCTCAGACCTTCTGGTATGTTGAGTGGCAGAGCCACTGTGGGATCGCCCAGGTCAAGAAATTTAGACTACTTGGCTGTTTTGATTAGAAGAGATATGAAAGCCTTTTTGGAAGGGTTTCGACCTTCATCGTTCTAGGCAAGGGTGGGTAAGTGCAGAGCTTGTAGAATCTATCGAGATAATCGAGATACTCTGCGACTTGAGGGCTAATTGAGAGACACCGATGAGTCTTACGTTGGATCTGAATCGTCACAGAATCGTGGATAACTATTTCGATATCGCTGATGGTGACCGTGGTAAAAAATGCCCTCATTTGAAAGACTTGTTGGATTAAAAGGGACGAGTACTAAGCACAACGAAGCATTTCGATCCCTAGCAGCGGTCGGAAACTTACAAAGGCGTGACAGGTTGTTTCCATCCACTATCACCCATGAGACTCTCGAAAGTCACTAAGCATAGGGTCACATTCCAAACGCGCTTGATTAGTAAGGTACGTGGTTCTGATCTAGGCCTGCCTTCAGTCTTAGCTTCAAGATTTCCTATCCGAATCTTGTCTGCATCTAACACGCGTTGGACATCTGGAGCGCGCCTCTCGGCCCAAAGACGGTCTCGTTCCCAGGCTTTATCGTTGAGTGAGCAATCCCTTGAGGCAAATAAAGCTTCAGAAATGGCGTCCTCGTTGTCTTCTTCTGCGTCCTGTCTAGGACACTCATCGCGCTCTCCGTCATATTGCGGGTTTTTGGGTCTTCCTCCCTTTGGATGATATTGATCGCTGGTTTCTAATTTGAGAAGCCTTCCTTATCTGGGAATTTGGTGATGCTCTTCGGTTCCTCTCTTAACATGTTGTTGTCCTTCAGCTTCGGCCTGAGAATTTTGTTGACATCAAGCTCCTCCCTTGAAAGTTGTGCATCTTCTCCCGGTCCTCGACCGCCTTCACCCGCATCGTTTGAAGCGTCACTTGAACTTGTGTCTTCTCCGATTCCCGAAGACCTCACTGGAATTCACCGGCCAGACGGTGGTCCGTTTCCGATACTCTCACTGAAGGCCGCTCTCAAGGTTGTTAGGTCTTGCCGAGCGCCGAAAGAAAAGAGAAAAGGTCGAAGAATCTTGTTGGGGGAGCCTTGCCTTTTGTGAATAACAGCAGAGCTAGTGCCAGCCGACTGCAAGCACTGGCTTGAGGCGTCGTAAGGTCAAGCGGCATACAGACCTTGCAAGAACACTCGACGGAAGTTCTTTGACTATAGTGAAGTCGAAGTTCATGAACCAAAGAGCATCTCGGTCAGCCGCTCAAAGCTACATCAAGGTACAAGGGAGTATCCAAATGCTATGGAATGGTCGTGGCCGGTGACTCGGCTACGTCCGACAAACTTGTCAAAGCACATGCGGCCACAGGAGTGGCTTCTGCCAGGGACTTTGGTGTTTCTGCCTTGTCCCAATGTATATACCAAGTATGTGAGGTGAGCCAGTCGTTCAGTGCTTCCGCATACTTCGACGAGACACGACAAATCCGTGGCTATGCTGCATACGCGGCTGAGGTGAGGTAAGGTTAGGCGACATGTTGATCCAATTGAGCATATTGACGGAGGGTATCACCCGCTGGATATTGAAGCTCGTCGACCGATAAGCACCTTGCCAGCCTGTGGGATGACTATCTGTAAAGATGCATTCGTCTGAAGCCAGCTGTCGAAGTGGCATATTGGACCACAATTCGACTTGAGCACGCCGAGGTGAGTCTTGCACTCTGCATAGTGTGTTAATCTTGCGCTTTACGGGCATACGGACGGCTTAACGGATATCTTTAGAAGGGGCTAAGTTTCTCCCAGATATGTCAGTATTACCAGCGGACATCCTGTCCTCAGATGGGCTACGGAAGACAAAATCAAAGTCGTAAGTTTCTATTCCAATTTGGGGTCGATATGGTGTCACACCGATCGCTGCGTCTGATTACAATCCGACAGAGCGCATCATTTCCTACCCATTGTCGGCCTTTCCAACGACGGTCCCATAATGCTTGACACGAGGTGACGACTTCATCGCCATTGATTCTGTGCTGCGTAGAGTCATCCTGCGTCTCTCAATGGCAAACCATTGAGGAAGAAATCCGTCTCAATTTCGAAGATGTCAATAACATAGGTGTGATGGGTCGCACACCTCGGCATGAGTAGCGTGCCGTGGAGAAGATTGAGCATATTTCACACTCGAGTTCCTGGATTTCTAGCTATCAGAAGGGCGAATGCTTTCGCAAGCCTTGTCGTTCCGTCCTTGACTTCGATGCCGCGTTCACCGAGCATGAGCTTGATCTCATCGATCAAAACCTGCCAATATACTCGGAAAGCCTTGTACCCGTAGAGCTGTGCATGGCCGAAGTACTACACATCGGTCGTCTCGTCGTGCTCGTCCTTGGAATTCAGCGTCTCGAAATGGAAGCCCTTGTTTCAGATGCGCTCGTATACGCCAATTGCATTCAGAACGCGCAGGGCGATGGGGAAGAGCATGACAGCGCCGCCTTGGACGAAGCGGTTAGAGCGGACTTCCCAGATGGTTGATGTAATACCGCACGATGTAGTGCAAGGGCTAAACCGAGGCCTGAGAGGCCGGCGCCGATAATGGCGACTTGGGTAGGTGGTGAGGATGGCATTTTGCAAGAATACAGTACGCGAGGTTCTTATTGTGACCGAGGATAAGAGAAAAAGGACTGAATGCAAAGAGTTGATATACATTTAACGCAAGAGAGATCTGACTGCGATGGATACGCCTAATATATGTTTTAATATCAGGCATCATCCCATGCTGACCCCTAAGTCTGATAAAACTCAGGCATAAAAGCTCTTTCGCGTGACACTAACGCATACGCCGCTCAAGTAAGCAAAGCGGATGATTTATACACATCGTTCGTAAACGTGGCCGAGAAGAGATTGTAGAGTGACAGATGAATCATAGAAGTTCTGACGGACATTTCGTTGTGGAAAGCAAGATGCTGCAATCTTCGGCCGAGAGCTCAGATTTAACGGCAAATTCATTCCAAGTTCCAGCACGGCCGGAGCCCATATTTTCAGCGTGGTGCGTGAAGAAAGTCGTATAGTCTTATCACGTGAGATTATCTCTGAATTTGGTTAAGTCTTATAATTTAATGTATTTCGAAGCTCGGCTGAGATCAGGCGTTGATATGTTCAGCATATGCTACCTTTTAACTATGGCCGAGCGTTTTTTGGCACCGGCCGAAAGAGGAACTCAGACAAGACACATTTGACGTGGGCTTCAGAGAAGAGGGTTCAAGCAGTATGTTACTCAAAAATGAGCGTGGTGAAAAAACAGCGAGGGATGTCGAGGGGTTTAGATCATTCGCTTGAGGTTCCATCGGATAACGCCTTACCCGATTAGAGACTAGCGTAACTACTGTTGGCAATATGATAGGCTATGCCCAATACAATTAGGGCTAGGGCTATATATGAATGCTATGTAAATAGATCGCATACATAGATAGGTAAAAAAAAAAAAAAAAAATTTTTTGGGGGGGGGGGGGGCTTTAAAAAAATTAAAAAGTTTTTTTTCAAAATTTTTGAAATTTCTTCCTTCGAGTCATCCGATTTCGGCTTGTGACCCATAGTAAATCGGATTGCTTCGGGGGTCACATCTCAGCCTTCCAGGCGTGTTAGTTCCACATATGCGCCAAGTGAACTGGATTACCCTGGCACACCATAGCCATAGCTATATGGCTATTGCCCATGGCTATATTACCCATGGCTACTATTGCCAATAGCTATATCACCCATAGCTACTGTTACCAATGGCTATGTCACCTATGACTACTATTGCCTATAGCTATATTATTCATGACTATATTTGCCCATAGCTATATGGCTGTAGCCCCTAGCCACATTGTGGCTAATGGCTATAAGCCGTGGCTAATGGCCATAAGCCGTCAAAACCAATACTCCCTCTTTATTTGACTACTGGAAAGGTAGAGATAGTAGAGCAAACAGTTAATATCACTCTTCGAAAAAATCTCCATAGAGAAAGCAGAGAAAGTAGAGAAATAACGCAAACTTTTAATATAGCTCTTTAGTTTATTCTCCTAAAATACGTAATAGCCCTTACGTATAGTAAGGTTATTTTAAGAAAGTGAATTTAGGTCTTATATGATATCGAATTTCCTCGATAGTAGCCTTTTAATTAATCGAATAGCTATATATCTCTAATAGTCCTTTATACTATTTAAATAACTTCTTATTTAGCGATTTAATAAGAATATCTATTATTATTTAAATTATAAGTATATAGTCTATTATAATTACCTCGTTTTTAACTAATTAATAAATATAATAATACTAAATATCGATATATTTAGTTCTTTAATAATGCTCGAGGTTCTTTATAAGATTAATGGCTCTTTTATTATCATCGAGTAATATCATAAAGCCTTTATCTAATACTCGAAAACGAACTTCTTATAACTATTATATAATTTATATAATAATCTTATCTTCTTCTATTAAAGTTATATACTTAGCTTTTATAATAGATATAATTATCTCTTACTATTTTCGACTATATTATAAATATACTATTTATTTATATAGTAAAACGAATTTATAGATAAACTTATAATCCTTCTAATTATCATCGTATACGAAATCCGCGAATTCTTTTAATATTTCTATTTCTTAATAGCGTAGTTCTAGAGATATCCGATAACCGTCGGAAGGCAACATTTGAGAATTCTAGCATTATTATCCACACCACCACTATAAAACCACTATATAATCCATATTAAATGGTCGTAATCTATTATATAGACTCCATTTAATCCTTTCTATAGTGGAATCGTTCTATATAAGTCCCTTCCTTACATAAAGAGATTTTGCAGATAGCGCATCCCCCTCTAGTCTTCCGTACTCCCTTACTATTACTGCTTATTTCTTTATTAAACCTCCAAAATCCTTTCTTCTAACAATTCAAATAATATATAAAACACTATCGAACGATCTTCAAGTCTTATTATTTATGATTGCCTCATACTAGTTTCGGTAGAGTAGAAAGTGAAGTAGAAGATTGCCGAGATCACCTATCTTCTCTACCTTCTTTAAGTAATCCCACTATTACCTATTTAAGAAACGTCTGATACTCTTAATAGAACATTCCTATAGATTCATAGAGTTTAAAAGTATTCGAAAGACTTCCATCTAATTTCCAGTGAAATTAAGATATTTATATTCGATTATAAGCCTTATAAAAAGAATATATAGCTACTAGTATATTAAATCGATTAATCTCCCCTATATACCTATTATAGTAGAAAAAGATCTTCGAAACACCGAAATCCTTTTGCTAGACGTTATTTCTATCCTCTTTGAAAATAGATAAGATAATACAATTATTAGTATTTATTCTATTAAAACGCTTTCTCTTTTTAATAATAGTGTCATTAATCTCTCTAATATCATAAGCAGTAATAAAGGCCAAAATAAGGTTATTATCCTACTAGGCTACCATAAAAATATCGTCCTAAATTACTATAGTAAGGGTATTATACGAGATATCCTTAGCAAATCGCTATTTCATCTCTACAAGCAATTCTGGAAGATTCGTTCGATTTAGCTTTATAATCTTATATACAATAATTCTTAAGGCCTTCAACTTACTAGTAAGCTTTAATTTGATAAAATAGTTATTTATAAAGAGGATAAAGTTAGAGGGTAATATATTAGTAGCCAATTTAAAGACCATAGCACTTATATCTCCAAGACCTTTAACTTTAAACCTACTCTTAAGGCCTTATTCAGATGAATACTATATATAGTTATAGAGATAGCCCTTATCACTAATTATAAAAACCTTATATTTCTACTTAATTAGCTTGTCTAAAGCCATAATAGAATAATAAGTACACCCTATCTCCTTGATCATATATTTATCAATTATATAGTGGCTACTTGGGGTACGTAATTTCTTTCAATTACTTCGTATCTCATCGGCAAATAAAAGTATCTTCTTATATTATACAGGCTTCTAATATCTACCCTTTTCAATAATAAAAGAATCCTCTTCGTCAGAATCTAAATAATAAATTATTCTTCGAAGAAGCATATAGCGGTCCCGTGCTATTTCGCTAGTAAGAATCGAAGGCACTAAAGCAATACTATTAATCCTTCAATAATTATAAATAGTAGAAAAGCGATAGATTCTCATATAGATTATAATAGCGATGAAGATTTTTAGCTCTGAAATACGAGTGGGTTTCTAGTAAAGATCTAAAGGACTCTGCCGAGAAGCATATAAATTTATACTCTTATAAAGCATATCCCAGACAGTAGTAGTCCATATAAGACTAAATACTAGATATGAGAGAACTATAAAGTCATTCGGAAAGTAACTAACGGGTATACGGTACTCGATTTATAATAATTAATACTCAGGTAATATAGGTATACGTCGGAGAAGAATATCACGTTGCTTGAGTTTTTCCTTCCTTGCCTCGATCGTGGCCTCTTTTTTTTAACGTTTCTAGGCCTCATATAATTCGTCCTTATCAGGCTGAGGTAGGGTAGCAATTTTAGCCATATTGAACTATATTTGATGAAATAGTAAGAAAGAATATAAAAAAGTCGCGTTCTTAAAAGACGCGATTTTTGAAGCTAAAATATTACCTCGGCTCGGCGGTTATCGGATAGTATCTCATATATACTTAAGTACTCGATTTACGATATTTATATAGTAAATAATTAGTATATATAACAGAATAAGATAGGGCTGAACTAGAAAACCTTGAATTTGTATGTGCAGCCAATCATCAATTCAGGGTCACTACGCTCTTTGGTTAGACCGGCTGAGTCAGCCCGGTAGCCCTCCCGAGCTCCCTCATCAAAAATTTGTATATAGAAGTTTTACACTTTAAAGTACTCAGCTTGCGATACATACAGTTACTTCATAATTCCTCAAATTGTAGAGCTCGCTTTGCGCTTTCTAACGCTGTAAAAATTATGAAGTTTGACCTACTATTGGTGGATTAAATGGACATTCAAATATGGTAGTCATGGTAGTCACACCAGACGCGTCCCGGATCGGATAATAATCCTTCCACCTGTTTGTTATTCTTCCACCATTCTACCAATTCTACCAATTCTACCAATTCTACCAATTCCACCAATATAAACACATTTACCCTCGGTACCCTCGCACTCAATTAAACAAGAGGAGGATCTACAACAGGCGAATGCGGAGAACACTGCGGAGAACATTGCGGAGACAGTCATCAGCAGCAGTGACACAACAGGCCTACTCTCCACGGTCTCACACCAATCCACTCAGCCAGTGCAAGAGAAGTCACTACAGCAGGCGAATACGGAGAACACTGCGGAGAAATCAAGCGACAACAAGGCCCCCAGCACCAAGAACAGGCTCAGCTCTCCAAGATCCCACGTCATATGCTCTCCACGATTCCACATCAAATCATCACTCAGCAAGCGGAGAACACCACTATAACTTGGCCTATCATCCCCACTGCATTGAGGAGTAAGAGGAGGAACTACAACAGGCAAATGCGGAGAACACTGTAGAGAAACCAAGCGGTAATAAGGCCACCATCGTCAAGAACACGGCTCAGCTCTCTAAGATCCCACGTCATATGCTCTCCACGGTTCCACATCAAATCATCACTCAGCAAGCGAAGAACACCACTGCAACTTGGCCATTCCACATCAAATCATCACTCAGCAAGCGAAGAACACCACTACAACTTAGCCTATCATCCCCATTACATTGAGAAGCAAGAGGAGGAACTACAACAGGCAAATGCGGAGAACACTGCGGAGAAACCAAGCGGCAACAAGGCCACCATCGTCAAGAACGCGGCTCAGCTCTCCAAGATCCCACGTTATATCAGTTATCCACTCAGTCAACCACTCAGCTAGCCACTCAGTCTAATACTCTACAAGAGGAGGAGTAAGAGAAGGAACTACAACAGGCAAATGCGGAGAACACTACGGAGAAACCAAGCGGCAACAAGGCCACCATCGTCAAGAACACGGCTCAGCTCTCCAAGATCCCACGTTATATCAGTCATCCACTCAGTCAGCCACTCAGCTAGCCACTCAGTCTGATACTCTACAAGAGGAGGAGCAAGAGGAGGAACTACAACAGGCAAATGCGAAGAACACTACGGAGAAACCAAGCGGCAACAAGGCCACCATCGTCAAAAACACGGCTCAGCTCTCCAAGATCCCACGTCATATGCTGTCCACGATTCCACATCAAATCATCACTCAGCAAGCGGAGAACACCACTACAACTTAGCCTATCATCCCCACTGCATTAAGAAGTAAGAGGAGGAACTACAACAGGCAAATGCGGAGAACACTGCGGAGAACACTATAGAGAACACTGCGGAGAAACCAAGCGGCAACAAGGCCACCATCGTCAAGAACACGGCTCAGCTCTCCAAGATCCCACGTCATATGCTCTCCACGGTTCCACATCAAATCATCATTCAGCAAGCGGAGAACACCACTACAACTTGGCCTGTCATCCCCACTACATTAATATGATACATCACTGCAATAACGTCACAAGAGAAGGATCTACTATCACAGTCAATTGAGCCTCTACAGGAGGAACATCGAACGATACATATTTGAACGAATTAAAACCGTCCGATGTCTTACTCTGACAGCTATTTCATTATTCGAATGATTTCACTGCGGCAGGAGATAATGTGGGATTCACACCACTAATTGGCATGTTGTCTCCATTTCTTTCCGATATTTCGATACTTCTTACCATAAGAACATGACCTTTGTCTATTTTTTGTAGGCAATTATTACGAATCAATCCTTCACACTTGATACACCTTTCTAATTAGACCTTAGCGCGCCTCTCTCCGCACATATATACCTATATATCGCATAGATTAAATTAATTTTATAGTGGTGAAAGTAGGTCAAAAACGCATAGCAAGCGATTAGAGTTCGATTTAACTTAGGGCTAGGGCTAAAATTTCATTTAACTTAAAAAAATCCAACTCCATTTAACTTAGAAAAATGAAAAATCCAACTCTATAAATTTAATTTATGGGCCTTTACTTGTAAGATTATAATAGAATTAACTAAGCTTTTCTATAACGAAGACTATATCGATTTATATATTAGTTATAAAAAATATAAGGCTTTTTATTCGCTTCTAATATTATAGCTAGTTTATATATTCTTCTTCTAAACGATCTAATTAGATTAACTTATATTTATCGATAGAAGTATAAATAGAAATCGCCTAATTTATTAAATATTCTTCGAATATCTTTTCGACGTACTATACTTATTTAATAATTAAGATATAAGATTTTTAGTTATAGTAAATTTAAATATCGAGAATATAATTAACTAAGTCTACTTTAATAGTCTTAAATTTTTTATAAATTTAATACTTAATATAGTTTATAATACTTTATAGCTTAGCTTTAATAAGAATATCATTTATATATAATATTATAATAGCTATTTTCTCTAGTAATACTTAAATAAAGATATAGCTATTAGCTATAGTAGCTATAAATTTTATTTTCTTAATAATATACTTAAATTTCTCATTTTAGATGTGGGCTAATTATTTAAAATTATATAATTCTTTTTAAAGAAGTAATATCTTATTTTTAGTATTAGTTGCTAATAGATAGTCTAATAATAAAATTATATAGATTTTTTTATAAAGATTACTATTAAGATAAGTATTATCAATATTCATTTATTCTATTAAAAGATTTATTATTATTATATATAATAGAAATAGATATAGCGAGTTAAATTGTAGAGTAAAGGTAAAGATCTTATAGAAGTTAATATTTTCTATTTATATAAACTCTTTAGTAACGAGTCTAGCCTTAAACTTATTAATAGTCCTATCGCTATTATATTTAATTTTAAAAATCTATTTATATATAATTAAGCGTCTATTAATCGATAAAGTAGCGAGTCTCTAAATTTCTTTAGTAATTAAGGCGATAATTTTCTTAATAGTAGCTTACTTCTATTCGCGGGCGTTTAGTTTATAAATAGCTTTCTAATAAATAAGAGATTTAATTATAATATTTATAAGCTTAGCTTTATTCTTTATATCGAAGTTATTATAAAACTTATAAAGGTTATAGTCTAGCTTCTTAGTATAAGATTATTATATAGAGATAGTAATCTAAGATATAAGACGTTATTTAGTGCGATTAGAAGAATTAGAAATAAATATAAATATAATAAATTATTAAATATTAACCTTAGATACCGTCCCTTAATTTATTATTTCCTTACTATTTAAGATATTAAGAGTCTCTTTAACTTCGCGAAGATTTAACGAAGATTTCGATTTACTTTAATATACATTTAGGCTACTTAATCCCGAATCTCTACTATTATTTATATTCTCTAGAAAGTTAATAGAAACTTCTCCCTCTACTTAAGAATTCTATATATCTTTAATTTCTTTAATTTGTAACGACGGTATAATATCCGATATAGGCCTCTTATAGTTTTTTTTCTTATCGTTATCGCTAGATATAGTTTTAATACTACTCTAAATAAAGATGTTATTAAGATTATTATTATTTTAGCGAGTAAAGGCGATATCTACTTATATAGAGTTATAGATTATTAAGAACGAAGTTAGAGTTATTAGTTAGACTCCCTTACGATTCTTATAAAAATAAATATTTATAGACTATTCGAATCGATTATTTCGAGGGTTATAAATTCGATATTAAGTGAATAAATGATAATTAATATATATACTCTAATAGGCTATAATATATAGCTTACTTTCTTATTTCTCTTTTAATAGATAAATTAAGTATAAATAATCGAAGACTTTTTTATAACTTAGATTCGATTTTTTATTAAATTATAATTTATAGAGTAACTTACTTCCTCTACTATTATATAATAATCTATTTTTTAAATAATTTACATAGACTGCGATTTCTAATTAAAAGTTTATAAGTAGATTTAACTAACTAAGTATAGATCTTATAAATTTAATTAATATTTTATTAAATTATTCTACGATATTATTCTAATATAGGGTATAAGTAATTATAAATTTTATAATAATACCTTATTCTTTAAGTATATTCTCGACTAACTTATACTCTTCTATATTATCAATTCTAACTAATACTACTTCTTTTACTCTAATTATTTTATTAATTATAATTATATTTCTAAGAATAAAGATATAGATCTATTTCTTTAATATAATAGACTCGAGGTTTAATTAGTTAATAGCCTTATCAATAAGGGATATAAATTACTTACTATTTTTTATAATACTAGTTATAGAATATAATCCCTAGAAGTTAATATATATTCGAGCTTCTAATACTATTTCCTTTAGCCTAGGGTTCTTATTAATCTATTAAATTATTTTCATAAAGTCACATATATCACATTAAAATCCTTCCAATGATTTCATTTCCTCTATATCTCTTACGTAGAGATATAGATTCTTTAGACAATACGCTTCGATATAGCTTAATCGTTAATATATTAGTCGAAAATAATCGACTTATTCTTATTTCGTAGGTGTAGATATATTTTTATTAAGAGGTCTCGATTTTCTAAAAGCGAATACTCTATTAGATATCGATTTAGTTAATTAATATAGATTATTTCTTATATAATCTCTTACTATCGTCTCGTCTATAAATATATTAATAATTCTAATATATATATCTTTCTTAATATATTATTTAGCTCTATAATCTATTAGAGTCTAGCGTATCTTAATAGAGTTATCTACTATTATCTAATATCTTCTATCTATATAGCTATTCGATATCTAGTTATCTTATTTAATATATCTATATTAATATTATATCTATATCGATTCTAATACTATAACTAGATTATCTTACTTACTATATTCGAATTAATAGATGAATTTAAGAAATCTATTAATAGAGGCTTTAATAAGATATTAAGTTAAGTTATTGTATTTCTAAGATAAATCTATTATATAGATAATACGTTATAAAGAGTATCTATCGAGATAGCGTAACGATCTTATAATTAGTTAGAGAAATAAAGTAATTACTAAATTAGTTTATTTATATAACTAGTAAATTTAAAGAAATTGCTATTTAACTTAATAATTATATAACTAACTCTCTAAGCGAAGTAAAAGTATTTAAAAGAACGATATTTAGATTATCTATAGTTTTTATAATAGTCTAAATGATCTATAAATTAGGAAAAAAAGTCCTCGTAAAATATAATATCTATTTTTCGAATTTGTAGTAAAGCCTTATAAAAGATATTATAAGAAGTTTTTTCTTTTCTCTTCTTCGCTTAATATTTATAATATTAAAGAATCGAGAGAAATAACGTAACTCTCTTATCTTTATTTTAAAATTATTATTTTTAATATATAATTAAGTAAGATAAATCGAGTTAGTAATCTTCTTACTTAGATATTCGATTAATAATAATTCTTACTATCTAACAATATAGCGAAGAATATCGCGGCTATTATAAATCTTATAATAGATTATTAACGTTAATTAACTACGTAATTAGATCGATAAGAAGTCTAATTAATTTCTTACTATACTTCGCGATCTTCGCTATTAATAAGACTAGTTTCGAGATATAGCTAAATAATATATCGATCTTAAGACTAAGAAGAATAAGATAGTAAATTAATAAAATAAGATTTAATAACGCTTAAAGTAAGTTAGTATTAAGGTCGAGAAGCTATAAGAATAGAATAGAGAGCTTCGATAATAGCTAATAATAATACGATTAAATATACTTAAGAATTTATAAATTATCTCTAAGATATAAGCGTTAACTCTTAATAAAGCCTATTTAAGTTTTATACTCTATCTATAGAAAAGAGAAGTCTATTAAGCTATCGAATTCTCTCTTCTTTATTACGATAATAAGAATCTCGTATAAGAGAATTAATTAGTTAAAATAAAGGAAAAGTTATTAGATAATAAGAATTACTACTCTATCGAGATGTCTTAAATTATCTATCTTCTATTATATATAGATAAGAAAGCGATCTCTTATATTCTAAATAGAAGATATAGAGATATTATAAATCTTTATATATTAGTTAGCGAGGTTATAAACTAGCTAACTAAGATCTATAAAGAGATAAATCGTTATAAGAAGATAAGATGTGAATATGATTTTCTTTAATAGATAATCTAGCCCTTTAATAGATTCTATATAGAACTCGTTAGACTCGATTTTATACTTAACTATAACGAAAATCTATCTAAGAAATAATTTAAATATTAAGCTATAAAT